AAAAAAAAAAAAAAATCCAGTTGATAATTTATTTTTCCCAATTGCAAACCTATGTGAAAGAAGAACATGAAGGAGACAGTAAGAAAGGCTGTACAAACAAATGTGCATTCTAAAAGTAAAGGAAGGATTATGTCCTAGAATTAATGACATTGAAAGGTAAAAGATGAAACACTGGGAAATACATGTTAGAAAGTAGCCAGTATTTGAGGATGGCTTTTAGCATTCTCAGAATAATTTTTTTTAAAAAGATGAAACTTTGGTCTAGGCAAAAAATGCCATCGTTTTTATTACGTGATTACACTTCATAATGAGAAAAAAAAGAGGAACTTTACCAGGATGGCAAAAGATAAGGGTATACAGGAATTGCACTACGTTGACTTGTATTTTTACTACTTCTGTGTAAGGGTTAATTACTGCTTAAAATACCCTTTCATAAATAAATAAACACATTCTTATAGGAATATGAAAAATGAGAATAAAATCCAACTTGTTTACACTTGGGTATGGGAGGATGACTTTTTCATACATAAAGCTGCAAGGACCTTGGTTTAGGCAGTGTGTCACCCTTGGGAGCAAGCTCCAGGATCAAGTATTTTCTCACGAAGTGAAGCCAGAGGAAGTTTTTATTTAAAAAAAGAAAGGGAAGGAAAGCATGATACTTACATGGATATTTAATTCTACATTTTTCCACTGACAAAATCTAGTGAACTTGTCACTAAAAAAGAATATAAATAATTACTGGAAAGTTAAATATCAAGTTAACTGGATTTAAAGAACAATGTTATAAGATACATTAGAATTATACTACAGTTGTGCTGCTTCTGAATTAGAGTGAGTTTTCTTAAACATTTTCACAAAGCATTCACCAGTATTCGTGGCTTTATTTTATGATTCAAACGAAAGACTTCATGTTTTTCCTTTAACTGTCATTATGCTATGGTGACATCTTTATCTGAATCAGCACTGTCCAACCGGATAACACAAGCCACATGTGTCATTAAATTTTAACAGCATATTTGATTTAACCCCAATACATCAAAAAATTATCATTTTCACATGTAATCAGTATAAAATTATCAATGAGAAATTTCACATTCTTGTTTTTATATTAAGTCTTTGAAACCTGGTATGTATTTTGCACTTATAGCCCATCTTAATTCAGACTAGTCACATTTCAAGTGTTCAATAGCTACATGGAGCTTAGTGGCTACTGTCCTGGAAAGCACAGCTCTAAATGACAAAAAATTAATGTTTAAAAATAATTAGAAGAGTAGCAAATGCTCTGAAGTGTCAGGCTCTAGAGGCTCATTTACTCAACCCAGCAACCCTGTGCACAGGTATTAGGATGATCTCCATTTTACAGCCAAGAGGACTAAGGCTTGCCCAAGGCCACACAGTGAGAGAAAGGGTGGAGTAGGATTTGAACCCAAACCAAGAATTGCCTCTCAAAGATAGGAATGTGAAGGAAAGGAATCTTCAAACTAGAATCAGACAATGTCACATTGCGGTGATGTGCTTTCATAATTTACTAAACTGCTTAATGAGTGCTTTTGTCATCCGCGAAGAAAAATATCCTATATCTATTTAATAAAAATATTACTTTGATTACTTTTTATTAATGAGCAATATATCTACAGTGTTTAGTTTTAGTTTTTTTTTTCCCCAAAAGTGCATTCTAGATGCAATAGTCCTTAAAAACAAAGAATATTCTTGGTGACTACTGGATTTCATCTAGACCCTAGCATGATTTCTTACACATGAGCACTGTATTCAGCATTCTTTAAATGAATAGATGAATGAAGACCAAAAAAAAGGAAGAAAGGGAGGCAGAGAGGCAGTTCTTAAGAAGTACAAGTTATAGGTATTCTCAGCATTATAATAAAATGCCTGAGGCATCCAAATATCCCAGTTCCCCTAGGGGTTTCATTTAATATGCCTTCTAAGGATCTTTTAAAAATATTTCTGAGGCTAACAATCAAATTGAAAATCAAAAGCAGAAGAACTCTTTGTAATTACATAGCATCTTTTTTTTCCAATCTAAAATGACTTTTAAAGAGTGTTTCATTGATCCTCCTAAAATCTCTATGAGGATGGTAAAATAAAATTATATTCTGAGAGTTTCTGAGAGTCGTTTCAAACTTTTTTTTTTCAAGTATGATAAGTACAAAAAGCAAAACCACATTGGGGTGTACTCCACATTTATATGTCCATGACTGTTTCTATGAAACTCATGTGGTGTGTTGGGCTAACTCAGACTCTCTTCTCACAGATTCTGAAGTTCAGAGCTGGCAACAGGGGGTGGTGATTTAGCACATTTTACAAACTAGCAAACTTGCTGGGGAGGGTTAACAGCCAGGGAGACAGAAATGCTCTACTGACCAAGAGTTTAGAAGAACCAGCTCCCAATTTCTACCCTGCCCCAAAAGAATACAATCTGCCCCCTTCCCCACCCCGCCCCCCGCCAAAAAAATAAATAAATAATACCGTCAAATACACATTTTGCCCATGAAATATGGGTTTGTTGTAACAAGTTCTTCCTTAGGAAGTACAGATGGCCCCCGCGTGTCCGGGCACAGTTGTGAGTCCATGGGGGTTCCCTGAGCACTATTCCTAGTCGATACTTAGTTACTAGAGTGGGAGCTTCTTGGTATTAGATAAACCATGGCAGAGAACAGAATAGAGCCTGGGCAACAGAGGGCTCGGATAGCCAAAACCCCTGCAGACAATTCGAGTATCTCAGAGGACAGATCAGAGGTTAAAAATAACAGAAATGACTGGCGTGCAGTGAGGGTAGGGAAGAGTCAGCGTTTTTAGCTCCAGTTCCTGACTGGGGCTTTAGACTGCTGAGCAGTTGAAGTTTACTTCCTGAACGTGGCTCACAAGACTCCTCCAGGAGAGGGAAGCCTCCCTCCTGGATTCAGCCCCACCTGGAACTTAGCCCGTGTCCCTGCTGGGCCTCAGGAGAAGGCAGAGAGATGAGCGCCTGTACTGCTGAAGACTTTCCCTTTATTTTCACACTGCAGTGTGGCCACCAGGAAATCACCTTAACTGTGAAGTCCTCAGAGAATGTGGCAGGTCCTAAGGAAGCGATGGCTACCAGGTTTTACTTAAGGAGTGTCCGTACTTTTCAAAACTCGTGGTCACTCAAATCAAAGACATTTTGAGAATGTATTAACATAAAAGAAACCCAAAAAGCTATAAAAATGAACAAATTGACTTCAAAAATAATTCATTTACACAAAACGGTAAATGTTTCAGGAAATCCAGTGTGCATGCTCGCTTAAAATGCAAACAGCCTTGCGTGTGTTTCCTGTGACAATAAGAGTGAATGGCTCAATCGACAGGAGAAAATCGCCATGCAGGTTGACCGTCTTCCCCAATTTACACCATCATCCCCATCTCTCCCCTCTCCCCCAAGGATCACATAAGAGCTAGGTCGACCCAGAGTTGGGAAAGGTCAGATTTCAGAACCAACAGCAATGGAGTCAGCCCTGAGCCAGCATTCCATCTCCTGGATTCTGCTGCTTTCTGACAAAATTTCTGCTCTGACTCAGAAAAGAGTAATCATTTGTATGCATGTGAGTTTCCCAAAGTATTGACTCGACTCCAGGATAAAATTATCTCTTGAACTCTAGTAGAACCATAACAGAACTTTTTTTTCCCCCTAAATTACTTTAGTTCTGTGAACATGTGGAAGAAAAAAAAACTGTAATGAAGCAGCATTTGTTCTTAAAGGGCAATTACGGAACAGCTGCAGGCTGCTCCAGCAATAAGACACAATCATCATGTCAATTGTCTAGAACTCAGTGGAGCTGATGGAGAAAAGCAGAGTCAGTGTGAATGCAGACTCAGTTTTAGAAAGTCCGATTCCAACGGTGCATTATCACAAACGAATACTCAAAAATATTGAAGGACTGACTGTTAAGTGCCTGAAAAGCAGATGAGTTCAACACTTTTATAGGCGTCACTGAGACGTTTCAGAATTTTCTATGACAAACACACTCAATAGTTTGAGTAACTCAAAGGGACATAATTAAGAGGCATTTTAATGATCCATATGACCGCAGACATTGATTATAGCCTATACCCTTAAATTCTACATTACGAATCAGGCACTGGCTTGTCCCACTTTGGGGGACGTGATTTCTAAGTCCAAACAAATGAATTAGATTAATTATAGAGTTCTGCTTGCATTAGTAAAGGTGCCCCAATAAGATACTTTTAATGTTGAGGTTCCCTAATCTATTTAAATTTTAGACCATTTTGAAGGTAAAGAACTAAAGGTCAAAGGGACATTAAAATATGGCAAGTCCTCTATGGCCATGCCACCCTGAACATGCCCGATCTCGTCTGATCTCGGAAGCTAAGCAGGGTCAGGCCTGGTTAGTACTTGGATGGGAGACCACCTAGGAATATCAGGTGCTGTAGGCGATAAAAAAAAAAAAAATGCAAGTCCTAAATTATAATGTAAAGAAAGTATCAAAGAAACGGCCTAACACAAAGCTTGGCACATAGTATGTGGTCATACTATCTGGTGAATGAATAAACTAACACGTATTTTAAAGACAGCGCTTATTGCATTAAATGAGGTACACCTATACAGTATGAGATTTTATATAAATGCTAATATTCTAATACATTATATGTCGAATGTATCTCAATAAAAGGTTTTATATAGAGAAACATAAAGTTTCATACCTTTCCATAAATTTTTGAAAAATGTTGCCTCGAAGACTTTCACAAATTTCTTCTATATATGGCTGGAAAGTAAGGAAAAGAAATTCCACACTGCATAAATAGGAACATACAAAAGTGAAAATACAAACAGATGAGACTCAGACAAGGCAAGGTTCCCAATTACAATCCCACAGCATTTCGTACTTGCCCTTCTCCAGATCTGTCCAAGTTTCACTAATGGATTCATCATATCATGATCATTTCATAGTCATATATACTACTCGACGGCACATTCCACGAAGGCAAGTACTGGTCTGTCCCGTTTGCCATTCTATCCCTACTGCCTAGCATGGCTCACTGCAGGTCGCTGATACTTCTTTAAATGACCAGAATTAGGTTAATGGGTGCATGACCTGTGCAGTTCCATAGGGCTCACACTCAGAAGAGCACAAAGCTTGGTTCAGTGCCCTACTGTCACTATTGTGAAGTTCTTACTAATTTCTTAACAAGGAGCCTCACATTTTCATTTTGTTCAGGGCCCTGAAAGTTATGTAGTGCATCCTGTAAATTACTATTAATTAATTATAAATTATCAGCATTATTATTGAGTTTTAAAGACTAAAACCTGAGGGACCAATAGAGTAAATTCTTTTTTTAATTAACTCTTTTCCTTACTGATTTTATATCTCTTGGAATCTTAGGGCTAAAGGTGACCATGGGTTGGGGTGAGGGAAAGTCAATCCTAATCCTTATTTTGTACATAAGAGGCTGTGGAGGTGTGAGCAGGTCTGTCCCCAAAGTCTTTGAGTGAATTCATGGCTAAGCCAGGTTAAGGCAAGGGCTCCTGGCTCACTTGTGCAGTGCTTTTTTTCCTGTGAACAACCTACTTCAATTTCATGCCACTTTACACATTACTGAATAAACAGAATAACTTTCCTTTTCTACGTGATGAACTTTAAATCGCGAACTATAAAAATATCAAATGTCAACATTTCACAGTTCAGCACAGAGTCAATTAGATAGTTTTGGAAAGTATCTTGCTTGACATCCTACACTCACTGAATGATGCAAATTTGGTGTTTTCTGTGTCTTCACAGATCATTCTGAAAATTTGCAAAAAAAAACGATCAGATCAGAAACCATCCAAGGCAGGTGATGAGACCAGGAAGTCTGAAGAAGCCACAGAAACCAAACGCAGGCAGTGACATAACCACAGCTCTTCTGGGAGCCTCACTTCCTGCAGCAGAAAAGAGACTCTGGGCCAATCAGCCTCTACTGCCTCGCCTCACAGGGCTATCACTGTCCTGGACAGGGCACAGTGACTGGTCACGAAAACCAAATGGACTTTGTTCCTTCCTGGTAAGAGGAAGAGCTGATCTATCTCTCTGAAGTTCTTTTCGACTCTGAAATCCTATGATTCTATTATGACATATATAATATTGATCCTAGCAAAGTCCCCTAGATGCAAAAGGCTAAGCCACAAGTCTCAAGAGATTCAAAAGACATCAAAAGATAAAACAGATCAAGTGCTCAAAAATTTATGAAAAGGTTAAATTTGTTTATCACAGATTTTCTATTTACAAAAACTATTTTGTTAATATTTTTTCATATTTTATCAAACATCCTGTACTTTCTGCTAACAAAATAAAAGACAGAGTGTTACTGGAAATAGTTAAGACTAAACATAATATACCCACATTGACACTTTTCAACAAAAAGAACCACAAAACATGCCAGGTAAGCAGTGCAAAAACCAAAGCTCAACAGTGTGGTCATGAGCAAACTCCTTCACCTCTCTGATTCTCAGTTCCTTTAATCTGTAAAATGAAATAGTCATATCTAATTTGCAAGGCTATTGTGAGAATTTAATAAAATTAAGAATGCTGAAAGCCAAGTATAGGGCCTGGCACATTCTATGCACCTAAATGAAAGCTAGGACCTCCCCCGACCCCTGCCACCAAATATGCCTATGCAATTTCTAAAGTCAATTTTACAAACAAAAAGAAGTCAATAAAAAGCATTTTGTATTTACTTTCAGAGCATTTTTGTTTCACTTGCTTCTTCTCCTTGATAAGAAATTTCAACTCACACATCACACTTCTTGATCTCAAAATACATTATAAAATTATAGTAATCAAAATAGTATCGTACTGACATAAAGAGAGACATTATAGACCTATGGAACAGAATAGAGAATTCAGAAATAAATCCACACATCTATGGGCAACTGATCTTTCCCAAGGATGCCGAGAATATACGATAAGGAAAGGACGGTCTCTTCAATAAATGGTGTTAGCAAAACTGGATATCCAAGTGGAACTATATCAAACTAAAAACCTTCTGAACAGCAAAGGAAACAATCAATAGAGTGAAAAGGCAACCAATGGAATGGGAGAAAATATTTGCAAACCATATATCTGATAAGGAGGTGAATATCCAAATATATAAGGAACTCAAGTCAATAGCAGAAAAACAAATAACTTGATTTTAAAAATGAGCTAAGGACCTGAACAGCCATTTTTCAAAAGACATATAAATGCTCAACAGACATATGGAAAAGGTGTTCAACATAACTAATCATCAAGAAAATGCAAATCAAAACCATAACGAGATACTACCTCACACTTGTTAGGATGGCTGTTATCAGAAAGACAGGAGATAAATGTTGTGAGCATGTGTAGAAAGGGAAACCCTTATGCACTGTTGGTAGAAATGTAAATTGGTGCAGCCTCTATGGAAAACAGTATGAAAATTCCTCAAAAACTTAAAAATAGAACTACCATATTATCCAGCAATCCCACTTCTGGAAATGACAACAGTATTTCAAAGAGAGAGCTGCACTCCCATGTTCATTGAAGTTTATTCACAACGGCCATGATATGAAAACAACCTAAGTGTCTGTTGATGAACAGATAAAGAAAATGTGGGACGGACACACATACACTCCCCCCATACACATACACAGAAGAATATTATTCAATCTTTAAAAAGATGGGAATCCTGCCACTCATGATAACATGGATGAACCTAGAGGATATTATGCTATGTGAAATAAGCCAAACACAGAAAGACAAATACTCTATCTCACTTACATGTGTAATCTAAAAAAAGTCAAAGTCATAAAAGCAGACAGTAGAATGGTGGTTGCCAGGGGCTGGGAGTTGGGAAAAATGGGGAGATGGTGGTCAAGGGTACAAAGTTTCAGTCACAAAGGATGAATAAGTTCTAAAGATCTAATTTACAACATGGTTAACTATAGTAACCATGTATCTATAATGTATACTGGAAATCTGCTGAGAGTTAATCTTAAGTATTCTCACCACGCACACAAAAATATAACTGTGAGGTGACGGATGTGTTAGCATGGTGGTGGTAATCACGTTACAGTTTATACATATATCGAAGTCATCATGTTGTCCACCTTAAATTAGATAGAATTCTTATTTGTCAATTATACTTCAACAAAACTGAGGGGTAAATAATTTCAACTCAAAGATGTCAACCAACTTTAATGTCCCTCTATAAACAGGACATCGAAATGTATAACTTCTATTTATACTTTAATATGTTCCAAATGGTTACACTGAATTGCATTAATACACTCCTTATTTTAATCAACTTAATGACTATTTCCTTCACCTCGGAAATAAGACCACACTCATTCTACATCCATTTTACGAGAACGTTATTTTCATTTATTTTTTCATGAACAAATCAGCAGTGTTTCTAAAAGATATACTAAGAAGTAGCTTCTAAATGGATATTCTCTGAAGGCATGAAAAGAATTTTGGTGGTCCTTGTATCTCACCTGGAACTTTTTTTAATGTTATTTATGCTTCAAGAAAAGCTAAAACCAGAGCTGTCAAATCCATGTGTTGTAAGTATAATTTAACAATGTTCATTGTAAATGACAATTAAGATATGTCAAAGGCAACTGAAAACTGAAATTCTGAAGACAACAAAATGCAGATATTCACATTGTACTTCTGAAAGTAAAATATCTGGTAATTGCTAACATTTATGGAGCATTGTGATAGCAGGCCCAGTGCAAAGCAACTCACATGCACCTTTCTCACTGAATCCTCAAGACACCCTTTGAGGTCTGTAAACCCTAGTAAATGAATTTCAGAGCCCAAGCCTATAACCTACTAGACTATACAGGAAGGTGCTACCGTTTAAGAAAAATCCACCTAAATATTTTGGCAGAAAGGTAACACTCAAATTGTATCCAAATGCTCTAAGAGCCAAATTAGTATTTTCTCTATACAGAATAATCAAATTCATTTTCTATAAATAAATCCCATCATAAGGAACCAATGGACACCAATGTTAAAATCAACTGACCTCTCTACAAATGACTGAATAATCCAAAAAAAGGATAAATTAATTCTTTTCATTTATGACAAGTATTACATCACTTAATGACATTTTTTTCATATTTCTTATGATTCATAAACTTAAAAAACTACATTATCTATTTGAAAACTTGACCATGTCCTTGCAAGCTGCCACCTCCAGAGAAAACGCACTGGATGGAAAAGGCTTTGGAAGGACAAGAAGCCAGTATATCAAAAAAGCAGCAAATACGCAGGCCCATTAGCTGTGGATTGAATTTTCAAGTCCTGTAATTTAAATCTGTATGACTGTGCTGTGTTCGAGATGTGAGGAGCCAAGGTAAAATCCAGGTCCCCAGTCATAACTCCAAGGTCATTCCAACATTTGATCTTGATTCTTAAAAGAGAATTTATGCCGTCTGAGAGATGATCACCATGAGGATCAGCACCTCTACCACCACAAATAAATCTTATAAAGTCCCTGCTCATCACGAGTGTCTGGGATGTCAAATGGGAAAAGGCTTTTTCTTCCAATGTCTTCTCTTCATTGACTTATTGAAAATAATGTTACTAGAAAGGTCTAGTGCCATTTTTCAGGAAAGAAATTATGAAGGATGTTGTTATAAGAACACATTTCAATGAGAAGACAAGCAATATTAAACTTCAGTGGTTCCAGATAAACCTCCAGATAAGAACAGTCTTATGTATAAAGTCCTCTAGTACCTATACACGTGAAAAGAGAATGTCACCAAATCCAAGTAACGAGCAAATTTATTTGTTCAAATAATGAACAAATAATTTTATCTTACCTGAAAAAGAGTTGATGTCACCTGTTTCTTGGCTAGATGACTTTGCACATGTTCTACGGCTTGCTTTGAGAATGGCTTTTAGAAATCAAAAACAATTTTTTTCAACGATTATAAAACATAACGAACCATTGTATGTTATACAATATCACAACATATAATTAAACGCAACAATTACTGAACAGTAATCTTTGGTAATTATGTTAGCACACATTCTTTAAAGATCTGCTGGATATTTGTGGGCGAGCTGAACAAACGCTTGCTCCTCTGGGCTTCCAGGGTACTGATACACATTCTTAGAAGGGCGATGAGCATGAGAAGCGGGTGGGGGTTGACTGACAATACACCTAATCCTACAAGAATTCAAGATCAATTTGATTTTTAAAAAATGTAAAGAATCTTACCACCTTACTAACAGCATACATTCCTCAATTAGCTGATAATGGAGTTCTAAAATGTCTACAAAATCAAAATTTCTGTGTAAGAGAAAATAAATGCATGAAAATGCACCTAAGAATTAAATGCAGGATTACAAAGCTAAGCCAGGTGGTAAAAGGCTCTAGGTGAAGAAGTCCCACTATAACTATAGCAGTGGGGAACTAGTTCTAAAAGAATGGAACTTACGCCAGAAAAAATTACAAACTCTGTCCTCCCCCAAAACTTCAAATTATAGTTCCTTCAATAATGCACAATAAGAAGAAAAGCTTAAAAAGCATAGCACACTGCTAAAAACCCTCTAAATTGCTGAACTATATGAAAACTAAGTTTATAGAGGCTCTCCCAGCAAACATCTGGCATTTTCCAAGGTTCAACCAACCCCAGAGCACCAATGATTAGCTCTAACTCAGAAATTCTTTCTACTACAAGGTAGGTGGGTCCAAAAAATAGTAATGCAATTATGCTACAAGAGGTGTCATCTTTAGCCACCAGTCATTAAATGTCAATAAGAATTGCAAACAACACAATAAATAACAGAAGCACTAAAACACATCATTATCATGGCCAATGCTGTCCAGCTAAACTTTCTTCAAAGACAGAAATGTTGGGATCTATGCTGTCCAAAACAGGAGCCACTAAGTCCCATGTGGCTACTGAGCACTTGAAATGTGGCTCATGGGGAAGGCAGGAATTAAATTTTAAATTTCACTTGATTTTAATTAATTTAAACAGCCAATGTGGCTAATGGCTACCGTACCACATACAGTAGGCCAGAACTGTTTGGCCACTCATTTGGAAGACAGTCTTAACGTAGAGAGATTGCATGGTAAATTTTTATTACTAATTATTCCACTCACTCCTGGTGGAATAATTTCCTAGGAACCTAGTTTATTCTAATGACCAAATTTATCTGTTTATCTGACTTACAAGAAAAAAGTATTTTGACCATTATTTAGCAATTAATGAATACAACATATCTACAATCTTCCTTATTTAGTCAAAGAAACCACTTAAGATTTATATTTATGAATATCTAATTAGTCTAATTGTTAAAACAGAGTTAAATTCACAAAGCTTAATTTCTTTGAGAAAGTCCAGAATTAAGACTAGCCCTTTCTTCCATTGATTTGAATTAACTATTTTATTCTACCAGCTTTTGCAGTGAAAGTATCTGCTTTTGGAAATATACTAAGTGTGTGCAGAACAACAGATATTCTATCAGTAGTTATCAGGAAAAAAAATGACAGAACAAAGAAAGAGGTTCCATCCTCAATGAGCATTGTTTATGTTTTTAACACCTTCCTATTTTACTTTCATTCCGAAACCCTGAAGGCTGTTTCACATATATCTACACTAAATAAAACAAAAAGAAATACTTACATGTGAACAAGACAGCAGCTCCTTCATGATATAGGTATCATAAATTTGTCGACTTCTACAAAGGCGATCTTCCTCATTATCAAGTTTTTCATATTCTTTTATCTAGATAATTTAAAAGTTGCCATTGTTAAGTATGTCTTCCTATAAATTTACTTTATTAAAATATATTACTAGTCTTGGTAGAAACCACTTCCACATGAGATCATGCAAATTATGGAACTGGCTATTCCACAGGAAACGACTACTTCTAATGTTGTAATAATGAAGTTGGAATAATTTAAATTCAACATGAAACTTACAAATTGATTTTTTCCTATGATGAACCTCATCACAAATTTAGAACCATAACATCAGGAAACAAATACTGCCATGGTTACAATTATCTTACACTGTATTAGCCATGGACCATTCATCCTTGCCAATTCTCCTTTCCAAAGCACAAATAATTTAAATTTGGCCATTATTCCATTCTAAGAGTTATGGGGATCATTCTCACCCATCTATAGTGTTATAAAACAGGATAAAAAATATATTGTCAGGATTCCTGCAAAGAGATTTTTTTCTTTTTTGTTAATCAACTAAATATTTTGGAAAGGCATTAACCCATAGATAAAAGCATTGGTTTTTCATGTTGGAACCGCATCTGCTTTATAAAAGTATTAACAGAAAGCTTACTTCAAATAGTATATTTTGCTAACTTAGGGAAGGTAATGTGACCAGTGTTAAGAGGGGCCCAATAACAAAATATGCTTTGGAAATATTTGCTTTATGTGGAAATAATCCCAATCATTCTAACCTGATAACAGAAGTTCCTGAATCAGAGAGGTGTTTTTATGTATTCACAGAAATACTCTTAATCCAAAAGATAAAGAATGAAAACAGATGAAATATGGAGCTAATAGAAAGACTGTAGCAATGTAATATAATGACTAATTACTACATATTACTTATTTGGGGGAAAAAAATGTTTCCAATGGGTAGCCAGTTGTTCTATCTGGTATGATAAAAGGTGGGGCTAACTACTCCCATAGGAGAGAGTATAAACTGAATAGAAATAAAAGTTACCTTTTTTCTTCATAGTCTGTCTGGGTTTGACAGTTTTGAAATCAAAACTAGTAAATCCTATAAGAATTTCTGATAAAGAAAGGGCAAGGAGAGGGGTATGTGAGGTCCCATATGAGAGCTAGCTGCTCACATGCTGAGAAATTACTGGGATCATCTTAATTGCCCTGAAATACCATCAGTGTTACATACTGAGATGTCTGAGATTCACAAGTCTGTTACTGCCAGGGCTTAGAATGGAGTCTTCTTAGAACAGATTAAAAACAAACAAAGAAACAAAGAAACAAAAAACAATATAAAGGCAGGCAGGCTGGGGTAGATTGGCACCACACCCAAGAGGAAAAGACTGTTTTAATAAAGAAGCAATCTAGCAATGCTGGCATAACCAGAGGACCTGGGCTTAACCATCCTAAATTAATTCAGGAGAACAAGTCTAAAGAGTTCAAACACCAGGCCAGACGCAGCTATGCCAGCTGCAAGGCAATGGTGAAATCGGAGAAGAGTCAGAATATAAACACAGGATCCTGGCTCAGTTGATGTCTTCTGTTATTTTGTTTTAGGCAGGTCCAATGGTTAGTTAATGCTAGGCTGAAAGAGGTAGACTGTTGGTGAACCAAAGGCCAATGTTTATGCCTAAACATTTGAATAAATTCAAGGAGTAAGAAGACTTCATGGAATTATTATTCTCGAAAACAGGTGTAATGAAATGTAAGTCTATGTCCCAGGGGCCCTATAAAGCAGGCTGACACCTGGTAAAACAAATGCCGAGTCTATGGTTGTTTTTCATAAACCATAATAATATAGCTGTACAGAAAATTCTAGTTTCTTGGGCAAATGATACTCTGAATCACAATACTGGCTTTATTAAGAGCCTTGTGCCTCATAAACCCCAACAAGAACAACAAAAAAGATAATTCTTAATAGGCAAAGTACAAGCCTAAAGTATCTGTGGCTGTAATTTAAAATTCACTTTCTATTATCAGTAAGACCACTAATTAAAGAACGTGCAGCCAACTATCAGTTAATTCTAGATAGGATGTCTTTATTGTAGCATACACATAGAAAACTCCACCTCTAATTTTAGCAGTTAGGTTGTCGTGGTAACCTGAGCAGGTAGAGCCCTGAGTTCAAGGTGAAAAGTCTCCCCTACAGCAGAAGAGAAGCATCATCATCAATGATATACATTCACTGATCATGTAATCTCCTTCTGCTTTGGTGGTTACAAAGCTCACAGTGAACATGGAGTCTAAATATCCAGGATCCTAAGAGCAAGCTCTTCTGGTCCACAGTTGTTAAGCTCTCCTCTTTCTCTCTTCATCTGTTCCCCTACCGTTCCAGTGGAATGGTCTGCTATCATCACTAATGGCCTCTGCCTTGCCCAATCACGGGTCTCTCTTTTGTTCTTAGCTTCACTGACTCCTCTGCAGCTTTCAACTCAGTTGCCACCCCTGTCTTCTTTGAAGCTTTCTTTTCTGACTTCTATGATCTACACTCTCCAGGGGTTTGCCACACTGGCTCCTCTGCCTCAGTCTCCCTGATAATTCTTTCTCTTCTGCCTGACTTCAAAATACCAAAGTGCCTCAGAGCTTGGTGCTGGGGGATCCCTTTTTCACCCACTATCTTCTCCTTAGGTTAATCTATTCAGTCCCAGTTTAAAACACCAATTATATTCTGGTGACTAAGTCCGAACCTCTAGGACTCACTTCTCCCCCTGAGCCCCAGATTCTAAGGATTGAAGTACCTATTTGACATTTCCACATCCTCTCTACTCCAGCCAAACATGTTCCTCTCCTAGTCTCCTCTATCACAAAAATGAGTGAAACCATATTCCTAGTTGCTTAAGCCAAAAAGGAATAATTAAAATTGATTCTACTCTTTTGCTCACACCCCTCCCTCAACCATCTCCTATATCCAAACCATCAGCCAATCACATTGGCTTTGCACTCAAAATGTATCACAAACCTAAACTTCTGGTAGTAGCCAACTATCTACTAACAGAACAATCCATCTGAAGGGGAAAAAAAAATGCAAATTCTGGACATATATAATACCCAACCACACTGGGGCACAGGAGTGACCAAAAAGTACACAGATAATGGAGACGGGGCATCAAACAGAAGCTGGAAAGTAAGAGAGGATATTCCTAAAAAATAAAGAGGCTGAGGGGGAGCTCCAAAATTCTGTGTATAAACTCTATGAAATTCTATGTTGGTCTCCATGATGACATGTGATCATGGCAGACGCAAGGCAGTCCAGCTAAGGCCAACATTCAGCTACTATCTATTTTATGAGATGACAGAGCTTGAAGTTGAGTAAGCCAAATTAACTGCTAAAACAAAAAATCAATACCCTTTGGAGAAACATAGAGAGTTTAGAATATCTACAACATATCAATCAAAATGTACAAGATACAATTGAAATTATTCTACATATGAAGAAACAGGAAAAGGTGGTCTACATGCAAGAGAAAAGAACATAAATGAAGACCAATCCAAGATGACTCTGATACTGGAATTACCAGACTAGGGTTTAACGTATCTATTATAACAATACTCAGGACATAACAGACAATGTGCATGTAATGAATAAAAAGACAGGAAATAGCAGAAAAATATTAACTACGTAAAGAACCAAGTGGAAATTTTAGAACTAAAAAACGCAATATCTTAAATTAAAAATTCAATGGAAGGACATAATAATAGATAGAGGTGACAAAAAAAAAAGTCAATGAATGTGAAGACAGATGCATAGAAATTACTTAATTTGAATAACCGAAAGAAAAATATATTTGGGGGAAAAACTGAAAAGGGCATCAGTAATATTTAGGATAATATCCAAAAATCACACATACATAGAATTGGAATCCCAGAAGGAGGAGAAAGAGAGATGAAGGTAGAAAAAAATGTTGTAAGACATAATGGCCCAAATTTTACTAGATTTGGTGAAATATATAAATCTACAGATTCAAGAAACTCAGCAAACCTCACTAAGAATAAACACAATATTTCAGATTAGCCCACTAAAATGCAGCAATTGTCAGAAATGGGCATACGGAGGGGTGAACAAGACACTTTTCTGTCTGTCTAAAAGAAATATATTTTGCATATAAAAACACTGATTGAAAGTGGATGAGAAAAGATATACCATGAAAACAATAAGCATAAGGAAATTGAAGTGGCTATATTAATATCTAATAAAGTCATTTTTCAAGACAAAAAAAAATCTTCCCAGCAATAAAAATATTAAAAAAAAAAATCATTAGGTATGCACCTAATAACAATCTTCGAGTTGCAGATTTTAACACCCTTCTCTCAGCAACTGATAAAACAACTGGATTTAAAATCCATAAAGACGTAGATGATTTATCACATCAGTCACTTTGATCTAATTGACATGTATAGAATATTCATCTAACACTCCCGTTTTAAATTTCCCATGGGCTTTAGAATAAAATCTAAATGTTACTCGGCCCCCAAACCCAGTCTCTCTTTTCACCCTGATCCTGTATCACACTACTCCACCTCTCTCACCCATTATGAACACACCACACTGATCCTTCAGTTCCTCAAACACACCAAGTTCTTTCCCACTATCTTAGGGTCAATGTCTTAGCCATGACTTCGACCTAAAATGGTCTCCCGCTCACCCTGTGCCCATCTTCAAAAGACTAGTAGCCTCCTTGTCATTGCAGTCTCAGTTTAAATGCCACCTCCTCAGAGTCAGTCTTTGACCTATCAGTCTAAAGTGGCCACCAAGTCATGATACATTCGTTTTGAGTCATTCCATAACATTATTACTTCCTGATATATTTCCTGTGTTTTGAGTCTGTTTTGAGTCCCTACATACCAGTTATTACTTTCTGACATATTTCCTGTTATTTATTGACTATATGTTTATTGTCTGTATCTCTCAAGCAAAACAGAGGCGCAAAGACAAGCGAGGACTTGTTCTTCCAAGTAATGTCTTCCTAGCATTGGTGTTTCATAAATACTGGTTGAATGATAAAAAAAATTCTATATAGTAACTTTACCTCTGATCTT